CTGTGGAGGAGCCATCGTCGCATGATGTTGCGAATACATCATATGCGCCATTCAATTGAGTCGAAACAACGACTCAAGAACAGTTTTGTGTGGGAAGATGTCAACTGAACCGAGTGGGGAATCGAAACACCGGCGAGGCCGTAAGGCTGAGAAACACGATAAACCGAAGATGGGACGTGTTGATTAATGTTTGAAGTACTGGGAAATCAGCGACGTTAATGAAGCAATAGTATCCTCGAAAATTTGGAGAGCGAAGCGAGTGTCAGAGAACTGAATTGGTATCGGGATCGTAAGGACGTTCTATGGAATGATAGGGTTGGTGTCCGAATGGAGGGCCTGCTCCGGTACAGATAAAGCCAGATGAAGCAGTTGACGTTCGAGGGGTTCGAGGCCAGCAAGAACTTGACTCGAATTCTTTTTCAAATGTATTTAAAAAGAGAAAGAGGAAGAGAAGAAGGAGAGAAGAAGAGGAAACAAAACCGTCTAATCGCGGTTTGGTAAATTAAGAGAAGGGTGTATGTGTTTAAAGGTCGACCGGACGACTGAAGGAAGTGAATGATAGAAGCTTCGGCGAGCGAAAAGGTGTAGGGAAACGTGCCGCGACAACAACACTTTTCAAAAACAAAATCTAATCTCTTTCGCCGCGACTCTTTTCGTTTCGTTCGGTCGGTAAATGAAGAGAGACCCTCGGGTGCGTGCTACGATCAATAGAAGATATTGACTGCGGCTGAGGGGTAGAATGTGCTTTCTTGTTGGATGTACGGGCGACCTGCGACGAGAATGAGAGACGTAGATTATTTTTTTCGAGTTTGAGATGAGGAAGGCACGGGGGGGGGTTTAAGATGGAATGTTTGAGTTAATAGTCGTTTGAGAATCTCAAATCTGAGCCTTTTTTGGACCTGGTCTGCGCGGTCGAAAAGTGGTAGGGGCCTTGGATCTTTTTTGACTTGGATGGTGGATGTTTGGTGAAAGTGGTGTGGTGTGCACACTGCTGCACTTGACGGAGAACTGACTGGGTAAGGGTCAAGAGGGAGAAGAAGGCGACGAAGAATGAAGTAATAATAATAATGAGAATGAGAATGAGAATAATAACAATAATAATATAATAATATAATAAAAATAATAATGAATAATATAATAATAATCCCAATAACAACTGGAATGGGTAAAAGAACGGGTGGGTGGGTATGAGTAGTAGCCAAGGAAGAACGCTGGTGGAATGAGTGGATGGTCCGCTCTCTCTGTGTCGTGTCTTGACTCTTGACTCTTTCTCCCCCTCCCCCTTTCGCTCTAACTTGCTTTTGGTAATGTTTTCAAGGATTATAATCGCGCTCGCTGCTTTGGCTTTTTGCTTTATCCTCGCTTTGCTCTGGTGCTAAGTTGCTTACGGGGGAGTGTGGTAAGAAATGGTCAAGGGGTGGGTGATTGGGGATGGGTTGTGCTTGGGTTTGTGCTCAAAAAAGACGTCTTCTCCAGTCTTTTTCACTTGCTCTTTTAAAGGTTACAACCTCCGGAACTTGGGTAGCTGCTTGTTCGAGTGGGTAAAAAGTATGACCCCGGGTTGAATGAGTGGGAAATCCCTAGGTACGGTGCGGTGCTATCGTGTAGTTCGTGCCTCATGCGTCGAATAATGACGAGAGGATCTGTACAAAGTGCCGTTGGGTTCGATGATCCAGCTTCAAACTCGAGGGGGAGAGAAGGAATGCTAGACAACCTTTTTGCTTCTTCGTGTGCTCGCCCGTTACTGCTGGGAAGTCGTAATGTTCGTAAAAGTCGTTGAACAAGCAGTCGTTGAACAGGGATTATTGCTAATAGGTCTGAGAGTGCTTACTAGGTGGCTAGCTTGTGGAAGGTTCGAGGGATCAGATTGGCTGTTATCGTGATCTGAAGCAAGCGTCCAGGGGGAAGAAGTAGTTGAAGGTTATCAAGGTCGTATGGGTTATGTGTGCGGCATGCGATGTGCGATATGCAGGTGAGTGAGCGCAAGAGTGATTACCTAGGGAGGTATTGAAGAACGAAGGATGGAATGCTGTAGGTAGTAGGTAGTAGGTAGTAGCACAGAATCCTGAGGATGACGCTAATAAAGAATCTCGGAGATGGAGGAGAACGTGAATGTGTGTGCGTTGTAGATGGCTTTCAGTCCTTTCGTCGGTGTGTGTTCGTGTGTGTGTATGCTCGTCGGTGTGCACTGTGCGTACAACAATCATACCTAGTAGGTCCTGGCCTGGGTGGAGGTATGTACCTCGTATGTACTGTATAATTTCCCGATATTTCTTCTTCTGGCTTCCTCTACTTTGGGGAGGGGGGTCGGTAATAGGATTCCGTGAACTTTTGATCTCTTACTATTGAGAAATGGCAGCTGGGTGGATTTGTATGGGAAAGTGGATGTCAAATGGAAATCATTCTCCTTCTAGAGCACAGAAAGAGCTGCCCCGTTGAAATGATTTTAAGTTTTTTTTACTACGGAGTATGAGTGAGACATGAGATACTGATACTGATACTGTAACCGAAGGAGAAAGTGGTCGTCAAGAGATGTCTTCGATTTAGAATTAAATCAGTCATATTATTGAGATTCATTGAAAGAGAGGTTCAACTGTTGAATTATGTTGATATTGTCCTGGAAAACCCGGTACACATTGCGGAGGCATGATTTCCCGAATCGATAGATCATATCCAAAATGACAAAGCATCAAGAAGTACCTTCTTTGAGACCTAGGTACGCACACAGGACGATACAAAATGCATTTGCATGAATGACTCAAGAAAGTGACCGCTAGGATATCATCATTCATTCTGGATTCTGACATCGAGCAATAATATTAAAACGGCGTTGAGAGAGCAAATATTAATAGAAATCCCTAGGTGTTCAATGAGACTAGGTCCGTCTAGAGACTGCTACTGGCTGTTGATAATTTGATATACAGTCTCGTACAGTGTACAGAGTAGCTGACAGATAATAAAACATGACTTGTGCTGCTGATTCAACCAATTAATTCTTCCATCTAAATTTATATCCTTTCGTGCAACTCTCTACCCGCCCGCCCATTGTATACTTGTATCTGTGAAGCCTGAGAAAGAGAAATAATAACGGAATGATTGATTTTCCTTTCCAACATCCATGAGGTTCTATCAATGTAATCTGGGCTTATTATCCCTTATTATCATTCCCAAAAGCCTCCCTCTCTTCCTCTCACTCATCTGTCCAATTTTCATAAAATAAGGCAAATGTGAAAAGCCTCCTCGGTGGCTTGATTGGAGCCCTGTCAAGAATCAATGGTATGCTATCACCTCAGGCCTCGTGTTTGAGAAGGTATTCCGATCAAGGGTAGAGACTGCACGCGTCACAATCTGCTCCTGGCGCTTGTTTCTAGTTTTCTGCTCCCTTTTTCCTCCATTGAGTGGCTTTCTCTCCTGATATGTGATCTCACGTATGGACTGAGTATGTATACAAACCTACCGGTCCATTTTCTTTCATGCCATTGCCGATTTATCCAAGATGTAGTCATGAGGTGGGAAGAGGAAGGAGGCGAAGCATAACCGAAGGTACTGTAAGCGTAACCCCAATAATGAATTGGTGACGATGGAGGTGTACAACTCCTAGGAATCTCTATGTAACTGTGCCGTTTTCAAGGTGGTGGCTTTGTTTCTCGTGCATCATCTGAGGAAGGCAGGAAATTTGTGTTTCAAGGTTGTCTTCCACAACCATATTCACTAGGATTTTGGGGTGGGCCTACAAGCAATCCAGATCAAAGCTCACTCTAGAACTTTAGATCAACGTTAAGCAAAATCGATTATTATTTGAAAAACTGGGTACAATAGTTCAAAGCATTAAGTTCATGGAATATGAAACATATATCTTTGGAGTTTCTCCACATCACTTGCGACCTGCATTTTCGATGAGAAAATGCTTCTTCCTTTCTTGCTTCTCCTTCATCCCTTGCTAGGCTCACATAATTATGCTGTCTCTTGAATCTTATGCCACCACTTGCATCGGCTTCATATACCTCATTAGATATGTAATCTCCGCGTAACCTTGCCATCTGCATATCTGGACCATGCTTCTTGCATCGGGAGTAAAAATTGTGGTTCCTCCCTATGCAAATTACTTTCTCGGTCGAACCTCACAGAAAGGAATGCTCTTTCATTGATATGACGATCTAATAGTCGTTGGCCCATTAGTTAATGGAGCCCCGAGGGTCGTATCGGCATGGGAGAGCGGAGTAATATTCGAACTGGGAACGAGATTTAGAATTGAATTTCCAGAGAGACATCACAAAATGAGCTAGTGCGACCGCTTGGGGACTCGGAACTTGCAATTGAGGAAGCTGAAGACAGCGTGTTTCTATATTTGATCTTGAATAAGAACTGGGAAGACCATGTTTGGCATAAATCACCTTTCTGCGTGGGGAGGAAGTGGATCCTGAGGGGCGTTGTTGACGGAAGTGCTATTCAATAGATGCGGCGAAAAACATTCGTTATGACATTTCAATATCCAAGCACAGATGATCCAGTCAGTGCAGTACATTGGTACATTGGAAGACCTAAGAAGAAGATTCATGCGTTAAGTTGACAGAGAGGCAAATCTCTTGGCTGGAAGAAAATTGAGGAGGGAGTGATTAGATTCTTAACTATCTTGTAGTCTGACTAGATCCGATCTAAGGCTTTCCTCTCATCATAAGGGTCAGAAGAAGTACCGGAGCATCGTACTTCTAATCATCTCATCCGCAATCCGAATGGACGAGCGTGGAGATAGACAGCTTCGAGAACGAAAAGTAAATGCCTCTGCGTGAATAGCACGCGATCTGAGCGTCAAACTCGTTGGATGATCGTTGCTATGACGGCAAACTTACTCGGTGTGCAGACCCGTGAATTTCTAGGATCGAAGCTTTTGACAGACTACAATTGACGAATACCATCCATGTGGTTGAGACCAACGATGCGACCTCCGCTCCAAAAACGACGGATTATTCAACCCGCGAGTCACGAAAATGCTTGGTATGTCATCCCGCGCCCGTCGTATCCATAGGGGGGTAAATATGATATTGTGAAACGACGCTGAGGAGACCTCGGTTTGCCTCAAAATTGCAGGTACTATTTTTCATAATGACTCCTTGAAGCCGTTGAGAGGTGTGTGAATGACTGCCAATCTTTCTATTCTTGTAGTCTTCGAACTTGGAAACATCCTTTCGTGGCCCTGCTTCAGATCTTTCGGACGGTGATGGTACGGTTGACACGTTCATCACAAGCTCTATGAATTCATGCGACACCATACGAATACATTGAATTGAGATTGCCGGCTTTCGCATCGTTTTGATGTTCCTATTTTCAACAGCACTTGGGTCGAATTGGGAGTCGGTGGGCCGACTTGAGTGACCGATATTTCTCATCCATCTCCAGTGGCGTGGCCTCCCATATTTCCGATCATAACGAAAATATCCAATCGTAGCCTTCACTGACTGATGTTGGTTTTCTCGTTCATCATTAGCTAGATCTTCCCATGTCATAACTCCCCGCCATCAATGCATAACCTTATAGCAGCGCGCGCTTTGAACTAGACCCCCTATGACACACACAGGATGTACCTTGTCATATCTACTACCTACAGTATGGCGCCGTACCTCAAGGGTCAAAATGTAATGAGGTAAACATCGCAAATCTGAAACTCACCTGATCAGAATTCCCTTACAATCGTATGGAATGGAAGCACCTCGCCATCGAAAATGGAAGGTCTTCACAGGTTCTCGGGAGAATTTCTTGATTCAATTTCTACGTCTACTTTCAAGGAATGTGGATTCTTTCGAACCAGACAACTTACAAGATCAAGCCTAATTGGAGGTGCCTGTTTGATCATCAACTTGAAACTCGATTACACAAAATATATCTGAATTATAGCAAGGTATTGCCTGCTATGACTATCACGGAACCACAGATCCAACCTCTTCGTTCAAGGGAAACCCTTTTTTTCGTGATGGCTTCTTCAATTTGAATCATGGATGAAGGGGAACCCGGTGAATAAGCGATCGAACCAACATGATGATTGATCATTGGACAATCTCGGGTATCGCCCTTTTTTTTTCTTGAGGATTTCTTCCTGGATACAAAAGTTTATTTCGCGGCGTGATAACAATACTCCGTAGACTCCAAAGACGGGCCGCATAGATGGCCATGATCTTCACTCCGTTTGTATTATTTTTATACTTAATTCACAAAGATCATCACTAAATCGTGTCAAGCACCTCTTACCAATGCTTTTCCACGATTCGCAACAAAATCCCCGATGTCCTAAAATTCCAAGAAAGAATTTTAAAGCAAGTACTAGGCAGGCAAGTAGGTAGGCATTGGACCATAGAAGGCAGGTACGCGCGAAGTATTCTTACCCTTAAACTTCTTCCAGCCACTCGAGTATCTTCAGCAATTAAACTCGGCGTTTACATACATACGATATATATGTATCACCGTGGTATCAAACCAATCCCACAATATTTCATATTTCCCGTGCTACAACATCTCACAGGACTCCACTATACGATGCGATGCAGTGATCCCGAAAATAGACTACTCGGTAGATACATACAATCCCACCTTCGTAAGATCTTACCTCAGTCCAAGTTCCAAGCTTCCAAGATGATGTTCAAGATGATGTACTGGTAGTTGTTTCTTTTGTAAAAGGACGTACACACACTCACACGTACTGGACTAGTTCGATAATATCAAGAAGGATTCAATCGAAGTGCGACGATAATCAACTAATCTCTCAGGCTTTGACATTTCAGCATTGGACTATCAGGTCGCTCCAGCTATTCGATATTTCAGTATGGAGTCTATCTCATATGCAATCTTACATCGTATGGTGCATTCAACTGCTGCAGAAAAGTCAATGCCGAGCGCTTGCTGAATGGGACCTGCCCGCAGTCATAAATTAAGAAGATGACTGACTGCATTTTCCCAAATATGTGATCTTTAAACGATTGGCTCACAATCTTTCTCCATCATCTCTTTAAGAATCTGTAAGAATCTGATACATCACTAATTGGCTGGCTCTTTCTCCCCCAAAATGCAATATGAATAAATATTGGTCTAAACAGGGTTAAATTAATGCAGGTATGCATGAAACATCGAAGCTTGAGCTCTTCAGAATTCTCATTGGAGAGAATGGCACGGCTGTCTCATCTTTTCTTTCCATTCTATGGAAATTGATCGCCCATCCGTCGCGTTGCCGCTTCTACTTACACGGAGTGCATCTACATCCCTTCATTTGTTTAGATCTAGATTCACCGAGCACCAATCCCAAGATACCCAACTAATGGAATCTTTCACGGGTCGATGTGTAAAAGCGTTAACGCCATTCAAATTTAGCACCAAGATCGGTATTGAAGCCACTCTTACTACCGGTCGGTCTTCGCTGTCATTTTACCCCGGCTATCAGATACCAATGTTGTGCTGCCCTCGTGACTACGGTAGCGCTTCTGCAGACCACCAAAGCGACCTTCCTTCTATAATTATCCGCAAATCTTCTTCAGCTGTATTCGCTGGACTGGTAACTCGATGTCGGCGTCTAAATTATAACTGCTGTACTCCAATGAGTTACTTCTGGATCCGTATCTTCAGATTCGATGGAAATATAGAATTGCCATAGACCACAACACATGCCGGATGGCATCTCTGCCCAAATGCTGATGAAACACTGACATCGGAGACTACTGAGATACTCAAAATAGCTCCATTCTTTTGACTAGCATGAGCCTTGAGGTAATGCTGATCTGACAGACCATCTGTGCGGAATTACACTTTTCTTTCTTGCTTTACCTTTTCTACTCAATGAAGCTACTTCAATCCGACAATGTCTTGCTTACCATGTAGGGTCCTCAGAGAGCATACTTCAGAGCTTGAAACGCCGGTGTCCACGGGTGGATCTTAAAGGAAGTTCCCTTTGACCATTTTCTTCTAGACTGTATCAGATTATTCTATAGCAAGTAACTATTAGCAAGTCGTTCCGCATCTCCTTTTGGTAAACTAGGTATCTACCATGATTGTTTATGTCAGTGTGTAGTGCCATTGTCAGTGTCAGTGGGAGTACATCTGCGCACGCCTTAAGATCGATACAAAGGAAGGTTAGCTACCTAGTGTGGCTCACTGGCTCTTCGCAAATTGCAAAAAGGTGGCTTCGCTACCACATTTTACTAGTATCTGCAGTGTTGTCTTTATAAAATTGCCCTATGAGATGGGTAAGTCAAAGCAGTGTACTTGCAAAGCTCTCAGGCATTCTGTACATCAGCATCTTAAATCACATCCTGCACGGATTGAATTGTGGCTTCAAAGAGATTGCATAAATGATTTCGCAGCTTCACTGCACGAAATATCGGCAGTTATTTTCCCCTTCGTACCTCGCCGCAAAGCTACAGTATATTGGTATTCTCTCCCTTTGTACATTCGTATGTGAATGTCTCGTCTTACCCGAAACATCCATCAACACGAGAAGGATTTCGCTTGAAGTTTGATTCGTGCTAGGATCTCACTTTGCGCCCCATCTCGTAGCATCTGGAAATGCTTACTTAATAACTGATGAGATGAGATAAGTGGTTGAATAATGAAGCGAAAAATTCTTTTGTTGCATATCGCGAAACGTAGGATCTGAGATCTGATTTCTTGTCAAGCTTATTCCACCCATTTTTTTTTTCGCAATAAAGGAAGGGATGAATGTGGAGGAGCGGCTCGTGTACATTGTAGATGGAAGGATGAGTCAATGTGCACCGTGCAATCCTTTGTTGATTACATACCATGTGGAAGGAGGTGTTGAAGGGCAGTTGAGGGATTGAATTTGGCGTGGAGGTGGCAGTGAGAACGGGTCAAACATACCTTGGTGCAAAATGATGGATTTTCCCACGTTTGATGTTCAACGGGGTGGCTGTTTGGGGTTCAGATGAGATTCTGAAAGGCGGTCATTATTTTCGGGATGGAAGAAAGTTCTTCGGGGATTCGATGGTTCGTCGTGTTGTCATGAATAATTGACCTTTCTGCGCCGCAATATACTACGGTGATAGAGATACTGCGGAAGGATCTAGCTGTACATCTTCATGTCTGTTTCGCGTTTCGTTTCGAGGTATGCTAGTATTGAAATATACGGTACTGGTACACACATTGGTATTGGAACCCATGGGGTATTGCTCTCTTGTATTGCGATCCTATGCTGGGTAGTAGCATCAAATCAACAATCATGTATGAATCTATAGCATCAATTGACCTTCGTATCCTCTTCTGAAAAGTTGTTTTATATCACAAGCGCGTAAATTGCTCACATCACACGCATACTAGAACCATCGCAAGCATCTTTCAAATCCTACTTCTTAATGTGACATCTTCCATATTTGAACTCCACGTATTCACCAGCACTGAATAGTGTAAGAATCCAATGTTGCGCAGGTGAGGAACGCAAAGATATCACAAAATGCACACTGCGATATGAATGTCAAATCTTCCTCACAGAAAGTAGCGATGTCGATATTGGAAAGTCAAAATCAGGATATGCATATTTCTCCCCGGGCCTCTAGCTTCCATGAGCGAGTTGGGTAGAATCTCCAGGATAATTTAAAAGCAGCTACGATTTCAACCTGTAATTTTTCTAAGATAACAGTTGCGTGTTTATTCAGTGTCTTGATTGACTTTTGGGGAATTAGGTGAACCAATCCTTAAATTTCAATACTAGGATTATGAAATATACCAACATCTCAAAACCCTATGATAATGTGCTATTACTATGGTCTACCTCCTCGCAATGTCTAGAGCTCAGAGTTTTCTCCAATCTCTTGCTCGTTGTTCAACTCGGCAACCTGCTGAACGTCCAACTCGGCGTCTTGCACATCCCTCGTTTTCTGTTTCTTCTCCGGACTCTTCATGCGATCCTTCAATGCCACCTCACCCATACCAGAATGTTCAACTTGCGCTGTTCCTCCGCTACTAGATCTGCTCGACTCGCCAGGTGATCGACGTCCGCGTTTCTTGGATTTGGGAATTTGTGTGATGTTGGCTTGGTTTTGATTGTCGGCTTCTGCTCTGTTCGCATCTTCGTCGTTCACATCTTCGTCGCCAACTTGTTCCTCGTTAGTCTCTTCTTGTCCGCTTCCATTGTTGCTGTTCTTTTTGTCACTCTCATCTGTTGCGAGACTTCCGTCCTCCTCATAGGATTGATCACTTCCGCTGTGGATTCCTCCCGATCCCTCGGCACTTTCCCCCGGTGTTCCCTCTCTCGTTGCCCCCTCGGCAATTTTTTCTTGTCCGTCCCCATCCCCTTCATCAACCTCGCTCTCATCAACATAGTCGGGAATATCAATCGTATTAGGAATCCAAGCTTTTCTCTTTTTCGGCCGGTTCGAATTCCTAATCTCAATTTGCTTCATCTTCGTGCCTCTCCCTCTTATCGTACATGTTTCCATAATATGCTTGAAATTAATCTGCTGCGGGGTTGCACTGATGAATTTCCCCTCGTCCCATATCCTTTTGTAAAATTTCACAACCCATTTCCTTGACGATGTAAACTTTTTCCGGCTTGGTGTTACGGGGATAAACCGGTGGAATGTACTGTCTTCGATACATTTGGCCACAATCTCGGTCTCGAATTTGAGAACTGGGTCGGCTTGTACGAACCAATTCATGAGTTTGACTTTCTCTTCAGAAGTCAGCTCGCTAGCTGGTTTAACTTTTACCCTTTCTGCCATGCTGGTTGGAGATGGTGTAGACCCATAATCTGTTGCGGGAAGAAGCCCCTGAAATATGATCTCTGATATCTCAAAAGTGTTACAAAGTTAGAGAAAGTCTGGACAGTGACTTCTTCATGGTTCTAGTAGCCAGGAGATCAGCTTCGATTGAATGTTGCATATATGTCTTCTTTCTCTCCCAACCAACAATCCCCTTGATTCTAGGCTTCATTCTTGAAACCAATGGTCAAAGACCACTTCAAAAGAACCGTATTTATAAATATATTGAGTACATCTTGAAAGAGCACGATTGTCTCGAGATGCTACGCAAAGACATATCTACTTACCCCCCTCCCATCCCTTCCTGCCCTTAAAAACCACCTCATGCCTTACAAATTGACTAGAAAGATGTATACAAGAGGCCATTTCAACGCTTTTGAGAGGTTATATATGGATGAATTAAGAGGAATCATGGCCATTAATGGGCACATTGTGGCATAATTGCAAGATTAAGCATTTTTATGAGATGTGTTGCTTTGAAAGGGAGGCTGAGTCTGTTTGGAAAATGGGGGGGGGGGGTACAGATGAAATTTTGCGGAATCTAGTGGTAGCAGTGGTGGTGTTACTCTTTGCTCGAGATATATGTAGATAAGCTTATTGCATGCTTCGATGGGAAACTTGTTTGAGGTATATATGCAATTTCAAAGAAAGTAGTTGTTTGTATATAGGGGTCAAAAAATCGACTTGGAACATTGTTTTTGGCGAGATGATATCCCTGACTTTAGAGGAAGGCCGCAAGGCAAATTGAGGTCGCTGGAGCTAATTTGTGAGATTTGAAGATTTGGACTATGAGAGCGAGGAGACTAGAAATAATTGGGGAGTTTGCCGGCTATCTGACCAAGGGCTGAGGGTAGCAATATGAAGACATTTATAGTGATTTACTTGTAACGAATTGTATCTCAATTTGCTTAAAAACCCTATCTTCGACAGAGAAAATTTGATGAGTCTCAAACCGAGAAATGGGCAAAGTGAGCATACTTATACACACACGTGTGTAAGATTCATTCCATCGGGCGCGATTGAGTTTGATAGATGTTTGATCCGCGGGTCTCGATGGCATCTGCCATCAATTCCATGATGTTCAAGCAATGAACATAGACGGTATTTTGTAATAATTATCCTCTGTCCTGATCACTCATCACAGAGATTTGTTGTATGGCAATATAACATGTTTGGTGTAATTCTAGTGAATTTGATATTGAAGTGGCTAGCTCAGTCATGTGACTAGCCGAGCGCCGACAAGTGTACACCTCAATGATTGTTAAAACGATTTTCATCTGTATTGAACCACCAAAACTTCTCACATCACAAACCGAAGCAAATGATAAAACCCTACGTATTATCTCAAATCGGTTCCAGCAATCGATACTCGACGCTCTGATCCATATCCAAAATGAACACTCAAGATCTCCGTTCAATCTCAACAATAAACAATTTCTCAGATACAGATCCTTGGAAGTTGAAAGGAATGTATGTATTTTAATGTACGATTTACTCCTTCCTTGGCGGGGTGCTCACACCACTCTATCACTTCCATCATAAAAGCAGCGGTTTGTGGAGTCTCGTGAGAATATAAAGGTTCTAATTATGCAAGTATCTGCCGGTCATCAGCTAGTTTTAAGCGGCTATTGAGAAGCTCCAAATGAATATGCAGATGCAGTGTCATTGTGGAGTTTGGCTTGACTCGACAGCAACGTCATCTGCACGAATTGCTTATTTTGAGTTGCCGGTGGGAACAGTGGATATCTGGCGGAAAAGTTTCTTTCCCAGAAAAAGATGTTGCTTTGATGTGAGATCCATTTGTTTGCGTGTGATATCTCAGCGGCAAGACATTGCTCGGAGGCACACTTCGATTTTATACCCATGCGTATCGTATCGTACATGCTCCACAGTTCTCGTTTTCCAACAGAAAGTATACACTGTGTAACATAAAGTTATCGAATTTCTGTATCAAAGGATCAAGCACAATCCTCTATCACATCAAAAATGAACGGGAGTGTAGATGCACATCAGCAGTCCAACAGTCAGACACTTTTACCCAAACCATTGCGTCGTTATGTATCAATCCTGCCTTCGTTATTATCCGATCTTTGATCACATTACACATTACATCTCATCTCTACTCTACTCCCTCACGTGAAATATGATCAATTGCAAGCAAGCTCATAACATGTCTGGCACCTTCCTCCCACGCATCGGACGATACCTTTTTAGGAAGGCACAGGCCACCATTCGAACAGTTCCTTCTTCATCCCACCATTAGCTCCAGCAATCTGATCGCTCTCGCATATGAACCACGTTAGCTGGGTCACAAATGTGATTACTCACTGAGGCTTCTTACCACTTTGGGTCATGCATGTGATGGGTAGGATCACACAGGCCTTGGAGAATATGCAAAAGATACCGAATGTGGAAATATACGTTAGTTTTGAAGGTATCTAGACTCGAGTGGGAGTGATGAGGTGCTTTTGTTGCACGTCGGAATTTTATGTCAATTATGCCATGATGGAAGAGTGGCTTTTGGGAAATCTTGGTTGGAGATATGCATGTTTGGTGGACCCAGAAAGAGGATGTGTTTTTATGAATCTTTGTGCTAGGTTCCATCATCTCAAGATGAGATAGATGAAGACCCGAAGTATATAATACAGCGCTTGAGATCAACATCCCCTTACCAAAATATCGGGAGGACTAGGTCATTGTCGAGAGCCAGACTCTTGGATAGATTTGTGCGATAAACAGTACATATAGTGCTGTATCACCAATGTGTGCAGCTGGTTTGGTCACTGCCAGTCTCAATTGGTATGATTGTTTTACCGGCTTATCGTCGCTGGCACTAAGGTATGTGCCTCTGGTCTATATATCCTATCTTTAGGGGCACATGTAACCTTCTAATACTTCATTCATCAAATTCTTATGATAACATCTTCAGCGCAGGTATGTAGTCTATTCATCGAAGATTGCAAGAATTGCCCTAAGGTTAGAGTTACACGACAACCCTTCATTTCATTGTAAACAAAACGTATGTAGAAGCTACATTAATGATCAGCTCTATTATCTCCATGTTCATTGGCCTCGATGATAGGTGTTATGTATGGTCAAAGTAATACCATTTCATTCGTATCTCCATCCCATCCAAATCTTGCGTGCAGTTCCCTGACAGAATTATAAAGACCAAGCTTCCTTACTGTCTATCGCCTCTCCTGAAATTTTAGTATCTTTAACCATCCAACTGCTACAAACCTGTGTAGATGAGACAAGTCTGATATACACTTGGAAGATCTCCCAGTATCAGCCGATACTTGGTGTTATAAAACCATCCCATCATTACTCTTCGTTTACTGCCGACTGGCCACAACTGTTACTGTTGACATTATCATTATTTGTTCAAGCGTAGTCCCAGTCCATCTTCCTCATTCCAAGTCATTACCCACAAGTCATCTAAAGCTAACCCCAAGTTCACAATTCCGATCTTATCCCAGTCCACAGGAGAAATACTTTGGCTACCTAGGTACGTAGTATTCTACCACAAAGACCTTCTCGCTGCGTCGACAATATCTCTATATTCCCAATGAACATCGTCCCGGAAAGAAGTCGTTCCTTAATCAGACTCAGAGTAGAATCACATTTCCAGTGTTGAGTTTTATGAGCAAATATCACAATAACTCCATTCCCTTCCCATTACATCCTTCCGATGTGAATATACATGTAAATATCATCCACTACATCAGAACTTTGAAATATACCAGGCCTCTACCTCTGCGATTCATCAGTGATGAATCATTACTGAATAGTCGGTCATATTGATAGCCAATGGAAAGTAGACTCATCATTTCCTTTTCGAATATTTTTTCAAACATACCTGTCATCATTTATCCATCATTGTTCTTTCCAAGAATGACAGTACTTTCTCCAGAAGTGTCGATTTTAATGAGGATCTTACACTACAGCAACTCGTTTTCACTGTCGATTTTACACTTTCGTGGACACTTCTACTCGCTTCATATACGCAAATTCGCTGTTAGAGTTGTTACAGTTCGGGATATCTAAATAGCTTTGAATGCTTGTTTAGTTTTCTGGGGGTTTTGTTGGAAAGTTGCAGATTCGGTCTTGGTGTAATATGTATTGTGAAGGACTAAGTTATAGTATCAGTATTGGGGAGTACTAAGATGGGTATGGGTATATAAACGATTTTGATGTCTTTTTGGATTCTGTAATCGATGGGTAGATGTCCATGTAATAATAGCGAGTTTAAGGAAGTGATATTCCCCTGGTTGTGAGTCTGACTCGGGGTGGATGATTGTACGTAGTTGTTCAAAACGGGAATTTCCCTTTTTATTTTTCGGGGGGAGATCATATATCTATATATATCTTCTCGACATAAGAGATGTCAAGGATAAAAAAAACACTAAAGTTGTATCAAAAAGAGGCAGTCAAAAATACCTAGGTAGTTGAATACGCATATATATCATTCCCCGTATTCGAATCACTATCATCTAAACTCCGTATTCAGGAGTATCTCGAATAGACGATGCATTTTTGGGATCATCATACGATCTCCTATGTGCAAAAGTGATGGGGTGTAGATATACATTTTGCTCTCGCAACATCTAGGTGATGATTGAGATTACTTAGGTATTATAAATCATATACACCTAGGTACCTTGAATAAAAAGTGAAAATTCTATCTTATTCATCTAACCCCCATCCACGCTCTCGTAAAATGTACGCAGGATTCTCGCTTCATATCATTCCGTCTATCTTCTGTGCCTAGTTGGTAGATATAGCTCTTATTTCCTCTTCAGATATCAAACTATTCTTATAGTATACTCCATCAGATAACAAACTCCTTTCCTATAGCTAATCACAAGTAGGAAATTACTCATTAATCATCTTCTTTATAGAAAATATTCCTTGTAAATTTCATTTCTTGTGTTGTATTTACTTTATACTTTATACTCTATACTTCATACTTCATACTTCATACTTCATACACTCCACACCTAACAATCTATACAAACCTCCCCCCCCCTCCCCCCCTCCCCCATCCAAAAGCATTCCCACCCCAACACACCCGAAAAATAATATTCCCGGATAAACCCTCGATAAAATTCCTAGCCTATATCAAATTATATATCATCTTAAATCTCCATCTATCTCTATCTAACTCAACTACTATTCCCCGTCTCACACTTCTCTGAGTTTATGTATAAAGAAAAGATGTTGTAGATATACTTTATATTTAGGTGTATGCGGGGTGATGAGTATCGTATAGTGTAATGTATAGTTTTTCTTGTGTTTGTGGAGATAGAGTGGGTGTGAGTGTAAGTATCAGTAATGAGTATGAATATAAAAATAAATAAATATTTCTACAACTCCTCTCTCTCCCTCTCTCTCTCAAAAGACACCCCTCATTTTATAGAAAGAGTAATTAACCAGTAAGAAAGAGAAGAAGAAGAAGAAGAAGAAGAAAAAAAAGGAAGAAAGAAGAAAAAGAAGAAAAGAAGAAAAAAAGAAGAAAAAGACAGCAAACAAGAAAAAGAAGAAAGTAAAACAGGAATTATACATACAAATATATAAACAAAACAAAAAAAATAAAAAAATAAAAAAAAAAAATAAAATAAATAAAATAAATAAAATAAATTAATAAATAAAATTCAAATAAAAATAAAATCATATACAATAAAATAAAAATAAAACTAAACAATAAACTAAATAAAATACATCTAAATCCTCAACATAAATCACACCCCTGCAAACGCACCTCACGCTACCCCTTCACCTCCCCCTAACCATCCCCCCCCTCCCCTACCCGGCCACCTAAACCTCCCCTACCCTCACTACACCACCTCACCTCACGCTCCACTCCCGTCCCCTACCCTCAACTCACCTACCCTCCCCTCACCTCACCTACAATCCCCTCCCTACCACTCCCTCACTACCATCCCTCCCCTCACAGTACCCTCCCGCCCCTCCCCTCACCTCACCTCGCCCCTCACCCTCCCCTCCCCTCACCTCACCCTCCACATCCACTCCCCTCCCCTCCCCCCCCTCCCCTCCTCCCCTCCCCTACCCTACCCCTATACACCCTCCCTCACCTCCCCTCCCCTCCCTCCCCTCCCCTCCACTCCCCTCCCCTCCCATCCCCTCCCCTCCCCTCCCCTCCCACATACCTCCCCTCCCACCTCCCCTCCCTCTCTTCTCCTCCCCTATCGTCCCGTCCTCCTAGAATCGCCTAATCAGGGTTAACCAACCCCGCCCCCCAATTTGGCCCCCCACCCTCTCTAAACCGCGTATCCGCTCTACTATCTCCTATAATCCCTCTCTCATCTCGATAGTAATCAGTCAATGTCCCAAGCAAATCAAGCAAACGTAGCGCCAAGGTCCTAGAATATTTCCTAACTCTTCTACAAGTGTCCCAAGCTGTAACTATAAGACCCAGAAACGCAACGAAACGCAAAGCCAAGAAAAGAAAAGAAAAGAAAAAGAAAAAAACGAAAAGAAAAAAAAGACAAGACACGAAAAGAAAAGCAAGAAGAAAGGACCAGAAACGAAAAAAAAGACAAGCAACGAAAATGATCTAATCTATACAAAAAAACAAAAAAGAAAATGAACAGAAAAAAAGGAAATGAAACTGCCCAAGGAAAAGACTTTTTTTCATACTATAGTAGCATTATATAGACCAGAGGCCCCTAATAACACTCTGCCCGTGCGTGGGGTCAGTTGGGATGGGATGTGAATCGAATATGTACTATTTGCTATTTGGAGTTCGGAGTTGAGAGTTCGGAGTTGAGAGTTCGGATTTGCATTTGAAGTACACAAAATGATATTTGATATTTCAGATAGGGAATTCAATTAAGATTGAGAAAAAAAGTTCTACAGAATTGATCTCTTGAGGAATAGTTAATATAGTGAGGAAAAGTGATGATGATTTAGGAAGAAAGATTTGGAGAGGTGGGTTGGTGGGATGGAGGGATGGAGGGATGGAGGGATGGAGGGATGGAGGGATGGAGGGATGGAGAAATAGAAAAATGAAAGGATATTCAAAGGAATGTAATCAGAAAGGAGAGAATGAATAAATGAGGGGAAACGGATGAGCGGAATAGCTTCAGGGAAAGTGTTCAGGAAAGTGTTCAGGAAATGCTTTACTATAGTATAGAGTGTAGAAGTGGGGATGGAAAAAGAGAGCGGGGGGATGAAAGGATGTAGAAGGGAAGAGGAAAAGGAAGATTTGGAAGAATATACAGACTTGGAAGAGAAGAATATTTGGAAGAGAAGAATGTAAGATTACAAATCACTCCTCTTAGCGAGGATGAAAATAATTATTGTGTAGAGATTAAGACTAAGAATGTCGAATACTACTTACATACATCATTCAAGAGCATTAATCGAATTATACTTGCTCCACGCATATTCTGCGATATTCTTAATAAAAAGATCATCGATCTTTCCCGAAGCGGAAGGCTGATGTACAAGTACGAAAAAGATCAATACTCCCCTCATTTATTTTCCCACATCAAATATTCCATCAATACTTATTGCTCACCCATTATTATAATAGACATAATTACAGATCTAATATCGATCTATGACCATTCTACGCATTCTCCTAAGTCGTACATCGTTTTTCGAAAAACGAATCCATCAACGCCAGCGAAATCGAGAAGAGCCATGTCGAGGGATTCATCAAGCGAAGCGGATGATTTGCAACCTCCCAGCATCGTATATTCCCCTGCACTATCGTTCCACGATGATAACTCACCGAATCCTAGCGATTCCGAAGGATATGATGGAGATGAGGAAGACACGGGAATCATGAGAGCGTATGTGAAGAAGAAAGATGCACCTGGAGCGCAGATGAAAAAGAAGGTACAGAAGGATTTGAAAAGAAAAAGGGAATTAAAAGAAATGCCAGAGGGCCGGTCGGAATCAATTTATTCCATGGTAGAGGACGAATCAGCAAAGGATCAAGATACTCTAAATCAAAATGCTCCAAATCGAGCCAGTGGTCATCGCGCGGAGAATTATCAGGTGACTCACGATGGAGTGGTAGTGAAAGCAGACAGACGATGGAGTGGTGTGGTCGACGGGAGATCAATACTTACCTCATCGTTCAATGAAGCCAACTTTAATGGGGCAATGGTTGAATCAGTAGTTGATCAGGTACTTCTAGAGCAAATAAACGGGGGGCGCCAAGATTATTCTTCAATACCAGATGGGAGAATATTAGAAGGAGAAAATGGCTCAGAGACCGCTCAACTTCCCTCGGAAACGGGCGAATATGATATAGCCTCGAACTCGGCCTCTTCAAGGGAAGATTTTGAATACACTCCGAGATCCGCGCCGATAAAAATACCAAAACCGGCAAATTTTCCATGTCGAGTTCCTCGATCAATTCTACACCATGATGATGTGGAACCGGTAAGAGCAAGGAATGGATGGGGCCAAGCCAAGTCACGCACTAACAGAATAAGTCCGGAGCAACCATCACGGGTTAATGCTTCGTTATTTGGTCATGAGTTGGAGCCAAAACCAACACCGCGTATTATGACTGAAGGACTTGGAGCGACAAAGGTATTATACGAGAAGCTGGAAGATATATCTTACAAACAGAAGAAGTCTTAGAAGGGTATAAAAAGCTCATGGATGGGACGCAGGGTGATGTAGAGAAGAATTGATAGAGGGAGGGGAGAATACTTTGAGGAGTATAAAGAAAGCGCAATGGATACATTTGTGATATAGATAATGTCAGCGAAACATTGATAGACTTTTAGCTCTATGATAATGTATTACTTCTCACAGAGTTCAATGTGAGCCCTTGAAATGAGTATTCAATCCTACACGGATGCCTGTGTCGCCTTCAAACATTGAAAGTATGTAATTGTTGGATTGTGGTTCAGAATATTAGAAATCATGATCATACATCTCCCGAGACTGGTTTGATGTTTGGATTGGCACAGCATCTCCGATAATGACATACCCCTGACCTAGTCAAGGGATTGGAGAAGAACAAGATGGTGAAGTAGAAGACGGCCTGCAAAGATCGACTACTAACTCTCAGTTATAACCAAGTACAGTACATTACTAAGTGTGCTCTAAGACCCGAGGATTCCGGATTGAACAATGAGATTTCTCATTTTCACAGCCCTCATGATCAAAATGTTTACCGCCACTAGACAGTAAGCCCTCTCTAGAGATCCATCGTGGCCACCATCGGAATAAGCGGGAGTAAATTCTTCCAAGCTACATAGCCGAGTCGCTTGATTGCGTTGTCCGTGGAATGGGAGAATGCGAGTATCGATCGAATACTGGGTTGCCATGTATTAATCTGTATGCAGATGCCATTGCAATCAGAGTCGGGCCCCATTGTAGGTATGCGCCAATTCCGAAGATTAGCCATACTCCCACGGGGAGCGGGGGAGAAAATCTGGAGGTTCCCAGTTTATTGGTAAAGAATACTACTGTTAGTTGTTCGGAAAGGCTTCTTATTCGAGAACTCCGACGCTTACCATGGCCCATACCATGGCCCATGGGGAAAATGATGGAGAAGAGGAGAAGAGGAGAAGGGGAGCAAGTGATTTCAAAGTAATCGGTCCGATGAGATATATAGTGGTATCAATTGACAAATTGGTAAGGATAGGAAGTAGCGTGGAGTCTAGGGAAGCGTGAACGGCGGGGTCGGGTATCGGTGTAGATGGTTACGAGGCTTCCGTACCTACCTAGGTATACAGTATACTACGTAGGGACTTTCTAGTGTTGTTGGCGTTTGACACACGGCTCGATCCATCATCCATGATTTTGTGGCTGGACAGGTTCGGGGAAAGCTTGGAAAGCTTGGCGAGAGATGGGATGGCGAAGAAAAAGAGAAAGAAAACGACAGGAAGGCGGGGCGGAAATGTCGTTCCTAGACTCTTAGTGGACATGTGAGATATTGCCGATCGGAAGTGCCATTCTTGGATGGTGTTGGGAGTTCGCTTGGTAAGAGTTTTGCGAGTGAGTTGTTTGTTTGACTGTCTCTGCGGAAGGTTTTGGTTGATGAAAATGGGGGTGAACCGATGATCAACCGCAAATTCTAGAACTTCTTCAAGCGCCCCTGTTGATCTGACTGGGTCTCAGTCCGACATGGTGACATTGTGATGATGGTGATGATGGTGATGATGGTGATGATGATGTTGATGATGGTGATGATGATTAGAGATTTCCATCATTTCGAATTGCCTTGTCTATTCCCACTCAACAGACTCACTCAACGATCTCCCTGGTATCCCGTCAGACATGATCCCATCCTTTCTATTATTCATTTATTAATTTATCCATTCATTCATTTAGGTATTCCAATATTAAAAATACACTTGAGCCACCTTGTGAAGGCAAAGTCTCTCTCTTATTAGACAAGGAGACAAGATGGGGAAAAAGGAAAAGAAAAAATGAAATAAAAAATAAAAGTCAATTTAGATTCCAAAGTGGAGTATTCATGATTCGATCATCACTTGACAGGCAAATATCCACGTACGGTACCAAGTATCGTGTCTAATGAATTCCCCGCCTTTTCCCCAAGTTCCGAGGAAATTCCGATTATGGGTCTCTGGATTTATGTGGGTCCGCGCGGGTCACCACATTTTTCAAAGTTTGTGGGGTTTGCGGAGGTCAACATGCATGGATGGGGAGATGGGGAGATGGGTAGGTAGGTACAGCTGCAATGTTGTAACAATTGAATATGGAATTGATGGAGTTGGATCTGTGAGATGGTGTATCATATGTATCATATGTGATTTTGCTATGAGACGCATGGATAGGAAAGAGAAACTTTTAGAGAGAGAGGACGAGAGAGTGCGAGAGTGCGAGAGTGCGAGAGTGCGAGAGTAACAAGAGTAACGAGAGTAACGAGAGAGACATATGATGTGATTGATGATCAAGACATCCAAGCGACCAATATCTGAGAGTTCACCGTTTGTTCAGATCTCTCATATGGGCGGATAGAAATTGCCGGGTAGGCTACGATAAGCTCTTGGAAGTTGAGTCTTTGCCAATTTAATCTCTAAGAATCCTTCATCCATGCTTGTCATATTGTAATCATCATCATTGATGCATGTCAGCTTGGAAATGACGTTTGCTTGTTGGTTGGTTGGTTTCTGTATTATTTGCTGTTGTATTTGTGTATAGCAAAAATAACAATATCAATAATAATTATAACAACAACAACGATATCAATAATTGAGATGTGATACTATGAAAGAGTTCAAACAGTATTGACAGTCTCAGAATAACTAAACACCCACTATGAAATATAACTTTGACCATAAACTTCCATACAAGACGCGATACGACTGATAGAATTTTATCTGATATACACACTGGCATGCTAGGTACCAGGTAGGTAATAAGCTCGCACACATCGACCCAACATATTTGGAAGTCTTCAGGAACTTTATTCGCATGAAGATCTTTCGCCTCTTTCATCCAACCAATATCAATCAGAGAGCCAAACTTCATGCACGTCGTCTGATAGTCTATGATAGTCTACCACTCGAGCCACCATGATAACTTGGACCAGGGAGCTAACTTTTTAGACTTTGGGTTGCCGATATACTGGGGAAGCTCAACATTTCTTTTGCACGATCGACTTATCGACATGTACCTAGTATGTCCTCAGTATGTACCTAGTATGTACCCAGTATGCTCGCACTCCGTACGTATGAGACCCCATCTTTGAATCATCAATCAATCAATCAATCAATCATTGATTGATGCATCTCAAGCTCAAGAGTCAAGACTCAAGAGAAGATGGGAACGAACGTGTAGACTCCACAGACTCCACAGACACACATACCGACCAACCTTATTATCAGCTACCCTTGGTATATAAAGTATCTTGCCATCCCACGATCTTTCTCTTTCTTCCGAGATCAGTACCATCAATCATCTCAATTCATTTGAGACTGTACCTGCCGACTTCTTCCTCAATTCCTTTTAATTTTAATCCAATCACCATTCAATTGGTGGTGGCTCCTTCCTCAAAATGAGATATTCACTCGTGGTTGCTGGGTTACTGGCCGCAGCCTCTCCCAGTCAACAAGAAAGTACTTTGCACCGCGGTACCAAACAATCCCGTCAAGTTTGTACTCCCATTTCCTTTACCCGTCTATCCATCTACCCTTTCTTCCACAAACCACATTTCTCTCAATGCAAGGGATCCCAATCCACTCGTTCTTTTGGATTCCCGCTCTTCATGATTACAATCATTTTGTAATTCACAACCACATCATCCAAACTTCACCATGAAGAGTTTATTAGATCTCGTTCTTGTTCTGTCGGGGATCATCACAGGAGATAGAAAATTGCTAACTCTGGGTACAAAGTCGTCAAATTCCACATATCCCGGTGCCGTCGATCCTGCTACTGACTCCGGTGCGGTATTCGGTCAAACCAGTGACCCCTTCTACCCTTCACCATGGATGAACCCAAATACCGGCGGGTGGGAAGATGCTTATGTCAAGGCAAAGGATTTTGTTTCCCAGCTCACGTTGTTGGAAAAGGTTAATTTGACTACGGGTGTTGGGTAAGTTTTGTTGACATTCACATTGCTGAATTTTTAACTAATGATCATTCAGATGGGAAGGTGAACAATGTGTTGGTCAAGCCGGATCAGTTCCTCGTCTCGGTCTCCGATCGATGTGTATGCAAGATTCTCCAGTTGGTGTTCGTGATACCGATTTCAACTCGGTATTCTCGAGTGGTCAATCTGTTGCAGCCACTTTTGATCGTGGTTTGATGTATGCCCGAGGATATGCTATGGGTAGGTTTTGATTTACCCCCATTGGTTTCTACATTTCTGATCAATCAATTTTATAGGCCAAGAACATAAAGCAAAGGGTGTAACTGTGCAACTCGGTCCAGTTGCAGGTCCTCTTGGTCGTGCTCCACAAGGTGGACGTAACTGGGAAGGATTCAGTCCAGATCCTGTCTTGACAGGTATTGGAATTGCTGAAACCATCAAAGGTATTCAAGACGCCGGTATCATTGCTTGTGCTAAGCATTTCATCGGTAACGAACAGGTATGTAATTTCTTGATTTCCAAGTATCAATACACAGGATACTTTTTGTTCCCCTATGATCCACCACTACTTCGATAACTTACAAGTATTCAGGAACATTTCCGTCAGTCTGGTGAATCACAAGGCTTCGGCTTCAACATTACTGAATCCAGTTCATCCAACATTGACGATGTAACCATGCACGAGACATACCTCTGGCCATTCGCCGACGCAGTTCGCGCTGGTGTTGGTTCCATTATGTGTTCTTACAATCAAGTCAACAACTCCTATTCTTGTCAAAACTCCAAGATGCTCAACAACTTGCTAAAGGATGAGCTCGGATTCCAAGGTTTCGTCATGACTGATTGGCAAGCTCAACACACCGGAGCAGCTTCCGCCGTAGCTGGATTGGACATGACCATGCCTGGTGATACCCTCTTCAGCAGCGGAGAAAGTTTCTGGGGAACCAACCTTACATTGGCAGTCATCAACGGAACCGTTCCAGAATGGAGAATCGACGACATGGCAATGAGAATTATGGCTGCTTACTTCAAGGTTGGCTTAACCCTTGACGAGCCAGAAATTAACTTCTCTTCATGGACTCTCGATACATACGGACCACTCCACTACGCAGCTGGAAAGGATGTTCAACAAATTAACTGGCACGTCGATGTTAGAGGAGACCATGCAAAGTTGATCAGAGATATTGGAGCTCGATCAACAGTCCTCTTGAAGAACACCAACAACGCACTTCCTCTTTCCAAGCCCAAATTCCTCGCTGTCATTGGAGAGGATGCTGGACCAAGCCCTTACGGACCTAACGGATGCTCTGACAGAGGTTGTGATAACGGCACTCTTGGCATGGCTTGGGGTTCTGGTTCTTCCAATTTCCCTTACCTTGTCACTCCAGACACTGCTCTTCAAAACCAAGCCATTGCTGATGGCACTGTTTACCAGAGCATCTTGGATAACTATGCTACATCCCAAATTGAAGCACTTGTTAGTCAAGAAGTCACCGCCATTGTTTTCGTCAACGCCAATTCCGGAGAAGGATATATCAGTGTTGATGGAAACATCGGTGATCGTAACAACCTCACTCTTTGGAACTCTGGTTATGCATTGATTAAAAACGTTTCTGCTCTTTGCAACAACACTATCGTCGTTATCCACTCCACCGGACCCACTTTGGTTGGTGATTGGTATGACAACGAGAACATCACCGCAATCTTGTGGGCTGGTGTACCAGGACAAGAAAGTGGAAACAGTATCACCGATGTTCTATATGGAAAGGTTAACCCTGCTGCCCGTACACCATTCACATGGGGACCAACCAGAGAAAGTTATGGTACTGATGTTCTCTACGAGCCAAACAACGGCGAGGCTGCACCACAACTCGACTTCACCGAAGGAAACTTCATTGACTATCGTGCTTTTGATGCTCAAGGCATCGAACCAATCTATGAGTTTGGTTTTGGTCTCTCATACACCACATTCAACTACTCTGGCCTTACTGTCACCAAGAATGCCAATGCAAGCAGCACCTACACTCCATCATCTGGATTGACTCAAGCTGCTCCATCTTTCGGAAACTTCTCTACAGATCTCAATGATTACATCTTCCCCAACGGTTCATTCCCATATGTCTACCAATACATTTACCCATACCTCAACACCAGCGATGCCGCCGCCGCATCTGCGGATCCAAAGTACGGACAAAATGCCTCCGAGTTCCTCCCACCCAAGGCACTTGATGGATCTGCTCAACCTATCCTCGCAGCAGGTGGTGCACCAGGAGGTAACCCAGCACTTTACGATGTTCTCTACACCGTTACTGCACAAATCCAAAACTCTGGTGAAGTCGATGGTGAAGAAGTTCCCCAACTCTATGTTAAACTCGGTGGACCCAATGATCCTCTCATCGTATTGAGAGGGTTTGAAAGACTCTCTATTCCAGCAGGAAACACTACTACTTTCACTGCCGATTTGACCAGAAGAGACTTGAGCAACTGGGATACAGTCGCACAAAACTGGTTCATTAGCAACTACACTAAGACAGTTTATGTTGGTTCCAGTTCCAGAAACTTACCATTGAGTCAGGATTTGGCTTAAGAGGGGGCGATTGTATAGGATGGGATGGAGTGGGTCATGATGAACCAGATTTAATACATAATGACGGGGTGTGGGAAATGAATGGCAGGATGGCCTTTTGGGTATGGCTACGTACATATTTTATGAAGTTATGAAATGATACATATAACATGGATATATATTTTGAGATGGCTTTGTGATTTTACGAAAGTGATGATAAAAATTGTGTATCGAGGAGGGACATGAATATACTTGGTGACCTAGGTAGATTGGTACCTAGTAGTTATAATTGGCTTTTGGTATAGATGGATGTAGAAAATTGAGTTTTGTTCTATGTTTGACAGAAAATATGTTGGTAGATGAGTTGACAGAAATGGAACTCGTAAATGAATATGCAACTCTATGTGGTATGTGGTGTTGTGAACTCAGAGCAGTGTGTTTGAGTATCTATATTGCGAAAGGGGAGGTTGATAGGTGCTTGCTTGGTAGGTAGGCGAGGTAGGTAAATTTGAGATGTGGAATGGGAATCTTGCTGGGGACTTTTTTTTTTGGATGGATGGATGGATGGATGGATGGATGGATGAATATGATATTTGATATCTTGGTGTAGATATTTTAGTTTGGAGTTTGAATTAGAGTTTTGGAGATTGGGGTTTGGAGATTGGATTTTATTGTAGAGAGAGGGAGAGAGGGAGAGAGGGAGAGAACTAAACCAACTGAGGGAGGGGTTTTCTGGTAAATGAGAGATGGAGAGGTGGAGAGAGGCAAAGAGAGGTGGAGTTATTGATTTTATTGGTGTGCTTTAATATACCTAGGTATATTATGTATTTCTGGGTAGGTACTTGGGTATATGGGTATTTGGGGTTTGTTTTCTGGAAATTTGGGTTCTGGGTGTTTGTTGGGGTGGGAGAGAGGGTGGGAGAGAGGGAGGGGAGGGGAGGGGAGGGAATGGAAGGGAAGGGAGGGTGTGGATTTGGATTTGGGGTTTGTAAAGGTTATTTGTTATGTTTGTTATATTGGTTGTGAGATGTGGTTTTTGAGTTGCTTGCTTGAGTTTGATTATTGGTGAGGGTGAGGGTGAGGGTGAGGGTGAGGGAGAAATTTGTGAAAGGAGCTTGGTATGAATGAAACAGAATGGGATAGAATGAGATACGGGGTTCGGATTTCTGTATTTCCTTCTGTGTTACTCTAGTTTGATCCTTCTTGGTTTTGTTTTTGTTTTTCGGGGAAGAGAAAGGGGAGGAAGAGGGAATTATATAGGTACATATGAGTAGGGAATTTGAATATCTTGAGATTGTAAGATTAAGGAGTTTATTGACGAGGAGATGAATACTTTAAGTGGGATGAGGGAGAGGGAGAGGAAAAGGGATTACGAAGATATTGAAGAGAAGTTTGTTATATTTATACTGTGTTATGTGGGAGCAGAACAGGAGATATATTTCAGAATCTAATGAGACCAAGAGTGAGAGTTGGAAAGGGGTGGAGATGCAGAATTAGTCGGATGATTGGATAATTGGAGGTTTGATGGAGGATACGGGTAGAGAGTCTATGAGTAAGAGAGATAGAAAGAAGTTATAATAGATATGATGATCGGGGATTGAGTTCTTCCCGGGAGAGAGGAATCAGAATTATGTTTGGCTGTGTAAAGCTTTTAGTAGGAGGAGAAGGAGAGGGGAGGGGAGTGTAATTTCATCGGATAGGTAAATATGTAGATAGAAAACGATATCGATACTTTTCATGGAGGATAGTAAGTATAAGGATTCATTTCTCAATAACAGTAGATGAGAACAAAGGTTCCCTGATATCCGGATCTTATGAGTGAGGATTTCAAAATCTCTGGATTAATCTCGTCTCTTTTCTTTATGGCGTGGTAGATAGTCTAGAGTCTGTGGATTTGTTGCGGAGATAAAATAGAAGGAATGGGATGGATATGTGTGTTTGGGATTTAAATTTATCAGAGGGTTGATTGTTGAGTGCTTGTAGGTTGAGTTGTAGAGCGAGAGAGTGAGAGAGCGAGAGAGTGAGAGAGCGAGAGAGTGAGAGAGCGAGAGAGTGAGAGAGCGAGAGAGTGAGAGAGTGAGAGAGTAAAAGAATAAAAGAGTGAAAGAGTGAAAGAATGAGAAAGTAAGAGATTGAGAGAGTGAGAGAGTGAAAGACTTTCAATCACCTCAAACATAAACAACATTCCATGATTTCCCACAAGAAACTCAAATTTCAATACCTTTCCCTTATACACCGTAGAAATAGTATATTATATATCATAAATCAGAACTAATGCCTATTCATAATATCCACATCGACATCCCATCTCTATTCATCTGCCCAGTATTCATCACACCTCTGCAAATCCAATGGAATAGTCAATACTAAAACTCGGGATTTGACATCGTGGTCTGATGAAAATCAAATCAGGAGGTTTGTGAATACATATTAGGTGCTAGGTATATTCATTTCTTATCCTGGTGTCTGATATTTGCAATCTGTTTATTTACTATTTATTAAATATTTGATCTTGATAATACTATCCTCTAGAATACTAATCACAATTAGGAAATATAGTTTGTATACAAATAAGAATATCAATAACTTTACAAATTATATCAAATATAAAAACTATTCAATTAGAATTTAAAAATAAAACTTATTAATATAATAATAATTAAAAGTTGAATTATAAATTTATTTATTTTATTTCAAAAATAAATTTGATGAAGTTTTTAAATTTTATTATATTTTATTATCAAAATAAATACAATTGATGATTTCAAAAGCTTTCAGATTATAATACTTTGATTAGTTGATAAAGTATTATAAGCAAACCCAGTTGTGGTTAGCATTTTAGGGGATAGTATCTGTATGGATTCGTGGATATTATATTGATTGGATTATCATATATGTATGCATGTAGGTAATATGAAGTAAAACGAAGGAGGAAATTTAAACATTTGATATAAAACAGTCTGATATTAGATTACATCTCTTGATGAAGATTGTGGATACTAGATATGCATTTTTTAACTTTATATATATGACTACGCACTCAAGTAAGTAGATGGATGTATCATTGTGTATCTTTTCAACGATGAATAATTAGAATTAAGCTACACAAGTACCAGAAGAAGTAATCTCTAGGCAAGAAAACGGATGTTTAAGAATGACACCAGAAGCAAAACCCATCCACAGCATACACTCCAGTGTTCCTCTTCATATTCCCAACTCAATCGCTAGAACATTTGTCCGTTTCCGATTCCTATTGTAGTCTTACCTCTATCCTCCTATGCCCACGTTATACGTTATCAACAAACAATGTTTCTTCCGACTCCGATGCTCAAGTGATGCCTTCCAGGCGCGTACAAATATAAATCATCATCAAGCATGTCAACTCTAGCTTGCATCTGAATCCATCTCCAAACGACTCCTTGGTCTTCATCTTCATGAACTATGATCTTTGGATGACTGATTAACGACATCAATATTCGGCGACTCATCAACTGCATTGCTAGAAGCCCCCTCGACTCCAGCATTGCTAGTAGTGCCACTTTCCGTATTCAAATCACCATAGCTAGGTAATTCATCCAATCCACCACTATTCAAACATCTCGCTGCTCCTCCAGTAGCAAGCTGAATTGTAACGCCATGCGTCGTCGAATCCCCATAACTCGGCAACTGATCTTCACTTGCATTTCCAGCGAGCCCCTCCCCACGAGCTCTCGTTTCACTAGGACCAGACACATTACTCGAGCTTCCTACCACTTCCCGATTTTCCTCTCTCTCACTCCACAACATTCTTTTCTTCCTCGATATCTTATCCAACTCCAAAGAAAAGAAACTTATCGCCCGTGTATTGTCTACTCGTCTCGCAACCTCAATCTGTTCTTTGAGATCTTTTTCTTCTCGTTCCAATCGACAATACCTCTTCCACTCCTCAAACCAAAAACACAAGAGTGCCACGACCAATTTCTGACCACTGATCGAAAGACTCGTAGAAGCAAGCTGATGCGGGAAGTTCTTGGTAATCGCGGCCGTTTTGACCGGATGCTCATCTTCCACGCTGTGTCTCGGGGCCAACATCCCAGGCTCGAGAGCAGTGGGTGCTTCTAATATGATACCGTGTTTGACAAGAGCTTTCTGGATCTTCACACTGGAACTTTCCATATCGACAATGTCGGTTACCATAAAAGCTCGCTCGCCGAGATACAAGGGATGCGGAAGACGTCGTTGATATTTGATGAGAGCATCGGCTTGAGCGGGAGTGAGAGAGACATCGGTGAAGGGGTGAGCTTCGGAGAAGACATTGCCGACGGCATGGAGGAAGGCTCCGGAGAGTCTACGGACGCGTTCCATGATTGCTGATGGCCTTGGTATCACCACACTATTGTAGAAATTTCTCGTGGCTGATTGGATGACATTTGGTAGGTATGATTAGATGAGATGAGATGATGTCCTGATGTGAATGCAAGGTACTATGTCTTGCCCTTGTTCTGCATATAATATTGAAACTGGGATGATTTGAATCTGATCATGGAAGGTGCTCACGAACAAAAAGGCAAGTTATTCACGAATGAGGGGTATTAATTTGCGCACACGTTTCGTACCCACTGCATCTCCATTCACCGTTGCACGCAGATAAAAGAATCGATCTTATTGGTTCAAAAGAGCCAGACGGACTGGAGAAGAGGAATAAGGCTACCTAGATATCCAAGGATTTCTTATCAAAGTAGCATTACCAAAAAGATAAAGATAAAAATAATGCAACCCCGCTTTCAACCGATTGCGAAGCTGACATACAGATGCCACATTGAGAAATCAAGCACGAGACGCTGAAGGATGGCTGCAGCAAGGGCTTCAGCTGAAGTTTGGGTCACGAAATGATCACTTGAACAATTTATCTCGTGACCATTTGGGCCAAATGTTTGGATATGCACATCGTTACTCGGGTCTTGGAAATGGGGACGTCGTCGTCAATATTGTTGGGAGGCGTCTTGTAGGATCAAATTCGCAAACTTGCAAAGGAAGGTTAATCCCTCCCCACAATTAGCCAATACGAGGGACAACACAGTATGACAAGTGCATACTCCGTACCTACTACCTACTACCTAGATATCAAGATACTGTGCCATGGATGCCATGCCATACCATCCTTTGAGGCGTCGTCAACCTCAACAACTATCGTGGCGATATTCATTAAGCAATGATACCCATCCATACAAACGAAAACCGAGGCTGAATCAAGTAAACAGCTTATAATCATGTAAACAATTTAATTTTTCAAGAATGATTCGAGAATGACAAACCCAAAAGTATTGACGTGGTGTTGCACTGCCACAACGGCTTGTGTCGAGCATCGTTCAACCTGTCGTCCGTGATGAAAATTGTCTGTTCCCGACTCGCGATTACGAACGGCTTTATGCGCATTGCCCTCGACTAAAATTTTCGCCCCTCTCGCTGGCAATGTCTGTCTAGGAAATAGAGAAACATTGCAGATATTCCGCCTTGTGTTCAGCTGATCCAGGATACCTACTTATGCCACGTTGATCGCGTTAAACTTATACCTCTCCTCGTACAGCCATATCGGGGTCTATCGGTGGCATATTCGTAGTGATCTACTGACTAAGAGACTGAGTGCGTTTGGGATCTTGATTCTTGATCTGATAACCGCATCGCCAATCCCGAAGCCATTGAATAGTTCGTGGTATTGTGGTTGCGGTCATCAATTCAATATGGCTGTGTTGCATTTAGAAACACATTTCGAAGCCTGATACAGTCAGGGATTTCTGATGGATATCTATTGATGGGGCTAACAAACAGGGCCGTCACATTTATGCCATGGAATCTTAAACAATTACGTGCCCTACGTGCGATTTGTATGGAAACGGCAGTTCTAGCTATTCCAAACCTCGGATGATGTGATAGATCTCATGTGGATCAAGCGTGGTGAGAGAAAAAGAGGACAGGGCACGGCGCCAAATGGTAACGGCGATCCGAATCAAATATCTTCTGGACGAATCCGCAACGTGCTTTTCCGAATACCAGAAAATGGAAAGCCGATGTCATGCGTCACACTGCGTTTGTACCCTCTTTCCCAGACCATAAAGTACAAGTATCTAAGCGCGCATGTAGAGTCACCTGTTGATGTTACCCTTACCTGATGGTATTCCTTGTTACGTATCGTGAGGGTTCTCGGGCAGCAAGATAGACACTGACATCCTCAAAAGCGCTTCGATGCGGCCAAGGACAGATGGTGAATGCATGTAATAGGTTGGAAAACTGGGAATATCGCTCACCGTAAGATACAGTACTCAATTGCGGGAAGAGTTTCAGCAAAGTTTGTGACCTTGTGATCATGTCCTCCATAGACTCTCCGCCATTGGAATATCTTCCGACGGTGAAATCGAATGGAAGTCACGAGAATGAAGGGGGTTGACATTTGATCTCGTGAATTACCTAGTATGTAGGATTGATACCGTTACGGCGTTACCTACCTATCTACCTATTGATCAATGATGGAGACCTACCATGATGTGTACCTACCTAGTCGGCTTGTAATGGATCCGAGGCTTGATGATTCATGAATCAATCAATTGGTGTACGAAGTCGAGACGGTTGAGATTGTATAATTGTACAGTAGTGCAAGAGTGTCCACGGGTAAGAGTGCACGAGTGCAAGAGTGCAAGTCCTGGGATATTTCTGAGTCGTGACTACCCACGACGGCAAGTTCATTAATGCCGGATGCAAGGCCCTAAGCCCGCAATAGTTAGGCAAACTCTAGTTTATAGTAGCTGGGTAATATAGGTCGATGCTAGATAGCCCTGCTCGGGCATGCCCGTTGACTATCACTCAAAAGCGGCGAGAAGGAGGGGAGACAGTCGAGACAGTTAAACATCTCGCGTGGCGGTGCAAATCTATTTTTTTTATACATCATAAATCAACTTTACTAAAACTAAAAAATAATAAAAAACAAGCTGTAAAAACATTTTATTATTTTATGACCAATTCGGCACTCTGTCTACCCATTTACCTGCCTACCTATCAAGTATAATGTCTAATTATAGAAATACCAGCCCAAATGTTCGGAAAAAGCATGTGGAAAAAATGCAGACGGTTCCATTGTAACGTCGCCACACCTCGTTACATCCTATCGTATAGCTTAAAACGCGTACACCGAGATTTGCTCAATGACTGTGCTTCTCTAAGAGGTTCATGCTGTGAGGGTCATTGCCAGTATAGACCCTGAATTTGCATCGCAGGAACCTGTTCCTATGCATATCTACACACCCACCATGATGTGCTCCCTATACCTGTGCGTGAAGGAATGATGACCTTCAACGAATACTCTGATTTATCATTGCTTCCCCGAGAGCGATATCGTTGCAAGTGCATGACTGGTGGAACGGCAAGTTTACACGGTTTCGGTTGGCAGGATTTCACCGGCTCGAAAGTTGGTTTGTGCGAATCAGAGCCCAGAAACGAGCTTTTGACAGCGACGCTACTTTTCGCAACTGGGATGGGCTTTTGTGATAAATGCCATCCACAGGCTCAGATTCATCGACGACGACTCAGTCTAGTAGAAAAATTGTCAGAGTTTTAACCATCCACAGTCCACCTCTAAGAAATGTTTCGTCCGTCGTACCCCGGAAGAGTGGTGTCGCTCGCTGCTTAATTTGTTTGACTTTGTACATGGCCATGGCTCGCACGAAGAGGAAAACATGTCAGGACTCAGGAGAGTTCTGGAACTTCGAAATCTATTCATGCAGGAGATTCCAATTTTGGTGTATAAATGGGTAGATTATCGATGAAATAGGGTCAATATCCGGCCGTTCGTGCCTCCAGTCTCAGACTGGAAGATCCATAGTCGTCGTGAGGCTTCAGAGAGGTCTCTTAATCTCCAATACCTATGTAGATTATGGAGATGTATGAGATTAGAACAAACTTTGTCTTGAACAGAATCACTGCGAATACCTGTGTGATGTTTCACATTGTTGACGCAACCTCACCATGATCAATTGTCTGCCTTTCTGTATGCGCTGAATATGCGTATGCATTGTGCTGTGCTGTACTGTGTGGAGATGCAGGTTTGGGCTTGATGCAAGTCATCTTTTCATCGCCGGCCGAAGTTGAGGCCAGATAATATTGGCGATATGGTTAAATGGAGGAAAAACAAGGCGGACTGCATATTGCAACATGGGTTTGATTAACTTAAGTAGGTAGTATCTGGGTGTAGCAGCGAAAGAGGAGTATAAAAACGATAAAAGTGGTAAGGTAGCAATGAGAATTGTGAAGTCCGGTGAGTAAGAGCCGAGAGAAAACCCAATTCATCCACCCACAGTTATGATGCAGTGGGAGAGAGATCTCGAGCTTTTCGAGGTTAGTTTTACTCTCTTGACGCATCATACCAGAAGATAGTAGCCATGTTAGTTTTTAGGACAATGTGAAATTAAAGAGATGGTTATTGGAAAGGTTTGGGAAGGGTTGGGAAGATTTGGGAAAGTTTGGGAAAGTTTGGAAAAGGTATCATCGTTGCAATCTCCGTGAATTGACTTTGCTTCTCTCATCATCGAAGTCATTGGTACGGAGTTCACCACGGGCCAGCAATCAATAATTATCTATGATGACTGATTGATGACTGAGATGATTGGATCTTACCCGATCGAGTATAGTTCCCATAGTTTCCATCATCTCAAGGTTGTTTTAACTTGTTTATACTTTTCCGTGCCATGGTCAGTGTCAATGAATGTCAATGTCAATTCCCTACCTAGTCAGCTAGTAGTACCGGTATACCATGAGATGATTATTCTTCATATGTCAAAAACTCTATCGATTGCGATCAAAATTCAATCAAATTTGACTTTGGAGAGCGGCACCCCAAACGGGACGACGGAAACTAAATGCATACAAATACGATGGGATCTTCAAGGACATCGCTCTCCTTCTGATTACCGATTATTTCCATCCCATTGTATTGCATTTTGCATTTTGCATTTTGCATTGCAATGTTACACCCTCGGCAGAACCAAGATGATGATACTAATTCATCGTATCGTATTTTCGTCGCCTTTCTCCGGTGCTTCGTGGGCTGTGGTACGGCCGTGCATGTATGATATTCCTCTACCACGACCCAGGTCGGCCTAGGTAGAGGTGAAAGATGTAGAGCTACAGGACAATGTGAGATGGTCAATGGCCATTAGTGATCAAATAGAATCTGCTCCACGATACCGGGAAGTTCTCTGAGAAAAAAAATGCAGGATTTTTACGGAGTACATTAAACTTTCAGCTGCACTGGTGACTGAAAGTGGATAAGTGGAAAACTCATTATCAGTCATCTTTTGATCACTTTTTATTGGCAA